TTAGAAAAGACCTCTGAGGTAATCTTTGTCTGGATTCAGAAATTTAAGGTTCTGCTTGTACTGTAGTAGCTGCATTGCAAGGAGCAATGAGCAAGTCTCCTCATAAGGTTGAAATGGAGTTCAGAAAAGGCAGAGTCACTACTTACCTAGTCTGGAATTTGGTCAGGATTTTTAGGCTACCACTCCTGTACCATCACTGAGATAGCTGTTTGGAAAATACCAATTTTTGGAGTAACATTTTTTCATCTGAAAGATACAGAGAATGTAGGGTACTTTCCTTCTGGAGTAGAAGTGTTCCATACTCTGAATAAATATAGGTCTTCACTTTCCATCAGATTAACATTGCCTTTTTTTTTTTTTTTTAAGTCAAATATTTATTTCTCATCACAAACTTTAATTTTTGAACTCAAAGAATAATCTCTCACATCCTGAATTTAATTTAACCTTCTCAGGAAGACTGGGGTTTCCTGTTCAATAACTAGAGGAGATGTTCTTCTCCATTGGCCAGAGTTGAAACTAATAGCCATGGCATGTTTGCTTATCTCTTATCTCTGGGGTTAGATTGCTGCTGTCAGCTTCTCCCTTGTTATCTGGCTGCTGCTACTGCTCACTCAGTTGTGCAGGGATGTCAGTTCCATTAATAACCTGAGCACCGTGCAAACAGATAGTGGAAAACAGGTGAAGGGAGAGGAAATTGTATTTAACCCTGATCTCACAGCTGTCATTTTTCAGACTCTGCCACCACTCCATAGGGCCAGAATGGGTGTGTGACATCAAAACACTTGTGACAAATCTCGTGCTTGAAATAGAAGGAGGGAGACAGATGGACAGACACACCTGCAGATGCTCAGGGATCAGAGTGAACCTGAAGCTCTTGTGGTAGAAATGCAACATGAAAGCACTGCTATGCTAAAAGACAGATTAATTCTTCCAAAGGGCAAGATATCCTCCACCACCCCTGGAAGCCTTGCATAGATTCAGCTTTAACTTTCATTATCTTTTTGTGTTTTGATAAGTAAACCTGTCTCCTGTAGAGGTACAGTTACAAAGACAATGTAGTTCCCCAGCTCAGCAGTAACAGATATTGAGGTACGGGAGACCCATTCTCTGTACGGAGAAGTCTACAAGGGCATGTTCAGGTTTCTGCTTAGCATTCCCTGTTGATTTCCAATAAACTTGCATTTCCTGGCTGTGGTGATCTCCATGCCCTGTATGTGGCTACCTGAGCCAGTGGGACGGATACTGCCTGCTCCCTGGGAGCAGGCAAGAACCTCAGCAGGGCAGGGCCGTGGCCTGAGACTGCAGCATGGACCCTCATTCCTGGGCACTGAGCTGTCCGTGACCAGGAGCCTTAGCTAGCAGCACTTTATATAATGGCCAGTCTTCGCGAGCGAAGATCCGGGGAAGGTCTTTACACCTTCCAGCCTGCGCATTGGATTTTTTAGGTGAGACACAGTGTGCGCGGAACTGAGCCCACCCTTTAATCCTAAGGTTCATCTGCCGGGGCCAAGCACTTTAACTTGCTTAGGTATTGCACCAGTCATTGAGGTCTGAAGCAAAGTTGTAAAATGTTTACGTGGCTTCAGGTATCGGTAGTGAGGGAGTTTACTTTTAAAGGAGCTTTACCGCAAGGAGGTCATCAGACTCAGGAATTTGTTCCTTCAGTGACCTTTCAGAAGCCAGGATGCTGTGCCTAAGAATAAAGGCTTCCTCAGCTGCCCTCATGTGTGAGGGAGCTGTGAAGTGTCTTGTGCTCAGTTTGTATGTGGTGAGCTTGTAAAAATACATAGATGTAATTTATTTAAAAAAAAATATGTGAAGATTTGGAATGGAGAGGAATTTGGTCTTGAGTAGAAAGTAGAGCATTTCCTGCATATGGTTTTCCTATGTGCAGCAGTCTATGTTTTTGTCTATGTATGCATCTGCTTTCCCCCCATATATTGCAAGGCATAGGCAACTGATGACATGCTTACTGAAACACTGCTGGTCAGGGTCCCTGTTCAAGCATGAGGAATTTCTCCTCAGAGATGAAACATGCAAGTCCTGAGTAATGCTTGTGTTTAGGTTCTCAGTCACTATTTCAGTTTAAGTAGTGTTCAAAGGAGTCTCTGCCATGTCTGGTCCCAGCTGTATCTAGACTGCAGCTGAAACTCTCTTGTAAAATGAGAAATGAAAAGGGAATTTTTCACGTTCTTTTCATTATTAAAAAACCATAATTGTCCTGCAACCTTTGCTTAACCTTGAAAATATTAAATGAATATGAACTGATGCAAGCAGAGGCTAAGGTCAGAAGTTGTCCCTTTCCGGAACAGGTTATTCAAAGTTTTGCATAGAACTGAAAGAGAAAGACTGTGATAAATCATATCCCATACATCTGTGATGGGGAGAGAGCTTGCTTGCCCTTTCCCGGTCCCTGGGGCTGCCCCTCTCTCAGTGTTTGGTGCCAGAGATCTCTTCAGCACACTGGGTTTTTTGGGTCCCTGGGGACTTTCATTTTGCCAGTGATGTGGTTTTTGTTAAGCTTGCTGCTTGCCCAGAGCTAATACAAAAACAGCAGAAAAGATTTTTGCAGCAAGGTGGCCTGTTCCTAGCAAGAGGTCAACTCATGAGGTGCTTTGGCGGTGAGCAGTGAAACAAATCCAGGAAGGAGTTTCTATTAAAAATGCAACATAGTAATTTCTGCAGCTCACCAACATAACAAAGCCCAACTAAAGGTGTCTCTTTTTTTTTTTTTTTTTTTTTTTGGTACCATTGCAAATCCTTAGGATTCTGGTCCAAAATTTGTTCAATAAGGATATCTAAGGTAATTGCAAAACACAAAGAGAATTTTCAGTTAGAGGAGTATTTGGTTGTTTGGTATGAGCTTTTTTGTTTTAAGAGACAGTTGTATCAGAAAACACAGAGTATTTCCTGAAAATAGAGGCATGAGACGGTGGCTTTTTAAAGTGCCAAGTATGTGTCCAAGCTTAGCTCTGGTGCACAAGCTGTTAGAGCCCTGTCAAAGGCAGTTTAGCAGCATATACCGTGAGACATATACATGCCAGCAGGATACTAATGGTAGTCTGTGCCTTCAGACCACAACACTTGCTTCTGGCTTGTTTGAAGTGCAGCTGGAGGAGCTCCTAGCGGTCCACACATAGGCATGCCCTAAGTGATCCACAGGTGAGCAGAGAGAAATCCAGTGTGGAAATCCCCATGCTGGAGCAGACTTGTCACTGATGGTGTGGTGCCTTGATGCCATCACTGAGCTGTTTGTATATCTGGGCATCATCCTTTTTTTCTGGACCCTGGGCATCATTTCAGCTCCACTGAGAATCCAAAGACCCTTAAAACTGACCAAGGTGGTTTGGACAGGAATGGTGTTAAAAGGTGTTAAACACATTCTTTGGCAGGAACTTGGTTGTCCTGGTCTGCAGTATAAGTGCTCTTATGTATTGTATAATCAAAAATGAAGATACTTTATGTGTTTCTTTTATGCCACAAAGAAATGTGTTTAATTTACAGAGCTATGGTTCTATTAATGAAAGACAGAATTTATGTCTGTCATATATAATATTCTGTACAAAATAATGGAATCATCGTAATTGTCCTACAGAGGTTACAAATGGAAAGTGGAATTCAAATATGATGGGCAAAGGAATTGTTTTTCCTTTTCCTCCAAAATTAAAGCAACGCTGGCAGCAGAATGGGTTTGGAACCAAAAGGGTAGGAGAAAATAGGAGTAGGTCTATTAATTGTACTGCTGCACTGAACTGAGTAATTAATGCTTGTGAAAATATCACAGTCAATTAATATATTTATATAAATAAAACTGAAATAAATATACTAATTTCCCACCTTCTGTGACTTAGTCCAGTTCTATTGCTAAAAAGAAAAAACCAGAAAAATTAATGTGGGATTAGTTTTAACTGAAAAGTTAATTCCAGTGAAAGTATCATCTCTGTGACTGAGTCTTTGTATTCCAGAGAGCCAGAAGTGAAAGGGATTCAGGACAGGAAAGAGTGGCACTGATGTCCACTGTTGCTTTTTCTGGCTCTTCTGTCCATGGTAGTCCTACTAAACTTTTAGGTGTTTGTATCTTTATGCTTAGTAATAATAATATTGTCTTGCTAGATAGTAGCTATTATGACTGAACATATAATCCAGTGAACAGTTTGCTTAGGAATTGCTGTGTCCCTTTTCCTCTCTGTTTCCTAGGATTATAATGCATTATATGGTATTTTGAGTGTATTAGGTAGTATTTTCTTGTCAGTAAGTTTTCTCTGAGTGAGGCTTTGGTTTCAAAACATGATTCAGGGGAGGAGATAACTAGTGTATCACATAACTCTTCTGCCCTTTCCCACATCATGTGTCCCCAGAAATTTTGTTGTGCAGGTTCCAGCACTTGCTGGGTCTCTCCATGCAGCAGTGAGTGATTCAGCTCACTGATCTGGTGGAAAATTGGCTGGGGAAAAACTTGGTTAGATTTCTGCTGTGGTAGTGAATTTCACAGAAAGCAGTCTCAGAGAAATATGTGGCAAGGAGCTGAGGCAGCCTTTGGAGGCTGTGGGTGCAAGCAGCATGAGCAGAAGTATGGACAGAGATGAGAGGAAGAGGGAAAAGTGAGGACTAGGACATTTTTTCATTTGGCAGCACAAGGCTTTTAAATAGACTCAGCTGCTTTTGAAACTACAATGTGTATTTATTTTTTTTTTTCCCCTGGCCTCAAGCTATTACAAGAATGGAATGAGAGCTGTATTTTCTGTCTTCATAATCAATTATTTTAGAGCATTCAAAACAATTATTTTAATACAGAGGGGACAGTTATGGTGCAGTGTGAGGTGGTGGTATGTGAATTATTATTAAATGAAACACTAGCTCCTGAAAAGTCTACACAGCTTCTATTATTCTATTATTGTGACATGCAAATAAAAGAGGACAATTAAAGACAAGGTTTAAAAATAAATCGTTTAATGATTATCTATATTCTGGAGTATGGATTACAGACAGTTCACTGCAGATCAAGTACTGTTAAAAAATGCCATTTCAGGCCAAGTGTTCATGTTTGAATTGCCACTTCACTTTTGATTGTAGTTGACAATGTGCAAATCCCTGAGATTACACGTGGCCCCACAAAGGAAATACTATACATCATTAAGGTGAACCCAGTGTATCTCTTACTCAAGTCATTGGGTCACTTCTTACTGACATCTGTAGGACTGGGCTTTAGCCCTGTGTCAGAACTTTTCTGTGTTTTGCCAAGATCATAACTCCATTTTCCTAGTTTTTCTATACATAAATCCTAGTTAGATGCAGTGATATTTATGCAGCAGTTTTACCAGATGGCTCTTGAATCATCCGTTTTCAATGAAAAATGAAAAGACCAGACTCGTACATAAAGGCTGAATTAATCTTTGTAATTAAATGGAACATTACTTTGCCTTGAATGATTTTAGCTTTCAGAATGTATTTCATGCTAATTTTTCAGTGAACTGTAATTGTATTAATTTTTTATGTATTTAGAAGCTTGAAAATGGTCTTCACAAAGTTATTTTGAGTCAAGTTGATATACAGAAAATCTGTGTTATACTCATAAAACTTTGTCAGTGGTGAGATATATGCTTTGTTTTATTTTTTTCTTTACAGTAAGTACAATATATCAGTACTTAGTGTTGCTAGCATATAAAATATCCAGATCATACTCTGAGTGGCAAAAAAGGCTCTCAGATGACTCACACACTTGGTTGTCAAGTGAGAATTTGAATAGACTGGAAACTAGGATGCTTTGGAGTATTGAAATACCTGTGCATTCCCACGATGGCAAGTTGTTAAGTCAAGAGTGAAAGGTCTTTTATTATATTGTCTCTGTAGTAAACTGACTAGCAGTGCTCTCATTGTGACAGAAAGACACACTGATGATAAAATCTCAGCTGTGTTGAAGTCAGTGGGGAAACTTCCATGCTTAATGAGAGGTGGAGGGAGTAGTCCCACTCTGGGTCCTCTGCCTCAGAGCCTTCTCTCTCTGGCTGCTGGGGTGGAAAAGAGTTATCATGACTTACTCTAAAGTGAGATGCTTCTCTGTGTGACCCCCTGTGAGAGTCTCTTGCTGTCAGTGACAGAAGAAGAGTCCTGCAGTGATGAGTTTTCTTAATTTACTCAACAGCCCAAGGTAGCCTGAGTGCTTAACAATAGCTGGGGGAAGTACCCTATCACCCTTTTTCTTCCTGTACACATGGCTATTTAATATGCAAGTTAGAAAAAGGAATTAAATGAGCCTTTAAGCCATAAAATTGTGCATGGTGTGTTTATGGTGGATTCATGTGCAATTGCCACATGGCTGGTTCCTGTACATTTGTCACATTTCATTTGAGTTCTCTGTATGCATATGTATGCCTCCTGGAATGCTGGTCCCTCCAACATACTTTTAGTCTTATCAAGGAGAAAATGCTGACATCATTATCAAAGAGCAAGCCACTTGTAGAAGAGATTTCCACTTTATTGTGCTGTATAAATAAGGAGTCTTCAAACTGCTGTTAAATATTACACAAGTGAACAGAAAAGATAGGCCCAGAAACAAGACTTCCAACATGCAAATTCAGAAACCTGCTCTCAGTATGATACTTCCTACCTTGTCAGTTGTGTAAACAAATTGGGCTGTGTGCGGGGCTCAGCTGAGCAGGTTTGCACCTGATGCAAAGCCCCTAGGAGAAATCCCAGCTGGAGGGATTAACAAGGACTTCAGAGGACTTCCTGTGTCCTCTCCTGGGTTTTGCTTTGGCCATAAGAAACGTTTTCCCCAGCCAAGAGCCACAGGTCCTTCACTGTCAGCATCAACTTTGTCTTATTTGCTCAGATCTCTAAACCACACATATTGCTGTAAGAACTTTTAAATAACAAATGCAGTAAAATAAATGTTTTCCCCTCTCTATCTATCTATCTATCTATCTATTTACCATCCTACATATTACAGACAGCTTTAGACATTGATAAAGCATCAAAGTACAAAAAGCAGTATTACCATTTGAGTTTACTTTCAAAAATCTCTCCAGGACAAACTCTGTTATTCACTAGGGTTTTATATAGCCTTTATAAAAAAATACCTCATGTAAAGTGGTGCCCAACTATTTTATTCTCATGTTTAGAAATCTCAGTCTCATGTCACAAAGCAAAAGTATGTGCCACCTGACAAGTGTGCCCAGCTCTCCTGAGGTAGTCTGGCTGAAGAACTCATCCCATCTTCCTTTCCTAATGCAGCAGGGCCATGAAAAGAGTAAAGAGTTTAAGCGTCAATAAAATAAAATTTTAAAAAGTGTTAATTATGTTGTTATTTGTGAGATTATGTGATTATATTTGATCTTTAGTTCAACCTATGTCAGACCAGCTATTAAGGAGCTTGGAGGCATCATCTTCACCCTTAGAGATGCTTGGTTAAAGAGTGAGGTCTAAAAGAGCCAACACTTGGCAGTCCCAAGCTGCTGCCCTCAGGGAGCTGCTGTGGAAGAAGAGAGTGAGATGGATGTGGCAGATATTCCACAAAGATCCCAAAATGTCCATGCAGAGGAGATGGACATTATTTTGGTAACAACCAGACAATTAACACCATGTGTTTAAGGGCAGAGCCCATCTCAGCAAAGAAGCACTGCCAGATCTAAGCTGGCTTTATACTCCTTTGCGTTTACAGCCAGCGAGGCATGAATTTATTTGCTTCTATTTGGAAGACAGTATACAATTTAAGAGCGCTTTTAAAGGATGTATTCTAGCTCTAAACAAAAAATGTTCTTTAATATGCCAAAACAGGAGCAAAAATTTTTGATCGACATTGAACTGACTAAATCATTAGGAAAATGACGCTGTACACCGTTAATCCTTATATTTGATTTAAAACCACTGTTTATTTTTTTAAATGTTGCACTATAAGTTATTTTTAAAGGGTTTATTCTTCATCATATAAGTCAAATTTTAAATTAAATCTGTTTAATTCAAATCCTAAGGTGTTGAATTAAGTAGATTCAACACAAAGTTTACTGTGATTCAGATGGGTACTCTGGAACTCATGCAGAACATCTGAGATTCACCAAACTTATTTAAGCAGCTGACTTAGCAGAAATTAAAACTGATGAGTTTTGCTCTTTCCCTTTTTTAAGGCTGTTTTTAACTAGGATTTAAACATGGGAGATGGTAAAGGGAATTTTGCGGTTCCTTGCAAGCTTCAGTCAGTTGGACCTGACACCACCACCAGGAAAAATATTAGACACTCCTGATTACGTACAAACTTGCAGATGAATAGTGCTCCCTCCCCAGCTTTTTATTCTCCCTCCTCCCCACAGCATTTAAAATATCTTGAAAGACTGCTAAACCTTCTGGAAAACTGAGGAAACATTCTGTTGAGAGGTTATTTGACTCATTTCATATTTCCCATTCAGCATTTTTCTTCCATTGCTTTTTTTATCACTAGAGCAATTTGCATGACAATGGGATCTTTCCTGCTTAAGAGATCATCTGCTCCTGCTGCTAATTTCCTACCTGAAGTTGTTATCTTCTGTTTGTGACATCTTAATTATCTCAATCACAATTAATTGTGATGTCACGAATGGAGGATTATGACTTTGGATTGGAAATGAGATTGAGAAACTGAAGGAGTTTGAAGAAGCAAAGAGGCCTTTCTTCTTGAAAAATAAGAGGAGACAGAATTATTTTGGTTAAATGGAGAGAGTCCTCCGTCAGCTTCCTTCTTACAGTAGTGGAATAGCCATTTCTAAATCTGGCTGTCATAGGAGGTCATGTTGTATTGAGATACTGTGGAGGGGCAGAAGGGAGAAAGGATATAACTGTGCAGGAAGCGGAATCTTCCCTTGAGTAGTCACCCCCTGAAGAGGGGAATTGAAGTTGGTGGACCCCAGAGAGGTCTGGGCTCTGCTCACAAGAACAGAATGCAGGGTTGGTGCATCTGCAGTTAGTTTAGAGGCAAATTAATTTACCACATTTCATGTCTTGCAATATTCTTCTGAGTTTGAAGAACAAATTTCCAGAAGAGCACTTTTTGAGGGGTGGAGGAAATTCCAAATACTTATGGGGAAAATACATTCAGCATCCTGAAAACATACAAAGTGAAAGCTTAGTGCTACCCTAGTCCATCATGCCTTTAATTTATTTTACAGATTGTCACAGTTCACATCTCGGTTTGTAGTCTTATCTTTTTGTATCCTTTTGCTTTTTTCCTAGAAACTTCTGTTTCCACAGAGATTCTGGGTGTAAGGGTGGCCTGCTGGTATTTTTATGAGAAGAATACTCAGGCTGTTTATACACTCACACCATGATTTACAAAGTGGGAGCACTCATCTGCAGCTACTATCACTGGAGTGTTTTACACAGATTGAACATAAATACTGGGACCAAGTCATGATTAAAAGAGGAAAACAAAGCAAATTTAATGAAAAGTGAAGTGCCTTATTTTAACACCCTTACTAATGTTAGGGAAAGGACAAAGACTGTAGAGTAAACGGGCAAAACTGGAGAACACAACAAAAATTAGTCCTGTAGTTTTAGGAAAGCACATTGTCCTTCAGAAGAGTGTGTGCCCACCCTCAGATGCAAATAGAAGTGGCCCTCAGTGGAAATACACCAGTCTGCACTTGCTGGGACCGAGGTTCATTCACATCTGTGTGTCAAATCTGTCTTAACAGTTGAATGTGTACCAGCTACTGTGCCGTAGCAGAACAGGATGTTTCCTGTTGTCCTTTGGAAAACATTGTAAAAACAGGCATTTGACCACCTGATTAACACAAGAACTGGTAGGGAAAATCAGCTGTTAGGATTTTGCACTCAGACACATTGCTCTAACTACGCAAAAGCTCTGCAGGCAACAACAGACCCACTGTGATAATCTGACAACAGAATCTGGACCCTCTGCATTGTGATGCTGAGCTCATTTGTGGCACCAAGTTTACCTTGTAGGCAAGTTGGTTTGAAGATAAATTAGGATGCCTCCAGGGAAGTATAATAATGCAAAATGGAAACAGAGCAGGGAAAAAAAAAGCAGTATGTTGATAAGTGGTTTTATCTGTCAACACTTTTTTTCTCATTTTCTTTTTCAAAGGCAAAAGCAGTTATGGCAAAAGTTGGTTACCCTCAGTTTATAATGAATGACACATATATTAATGAAGACATCAAAACAGTAAGTGTCAGACTTGCAGCTTTCTTCATTTACATATTGCAGCTATTCTTTGCTCTGTTTCACTGCTGTCTAAAATCAAAGCCTGTCTTTTGTTTGGCATGCACCTGGAGTTTTGCATGCCTGGTTATTTTTATTTTATTTTTTAATTAAATGTGCTAGCTCTCATGTCTAAATTGTCAATGTTTGCGTGCCTAAATGAGATCATGACACTTGCAGGGAGTAAAAGAACTTTCCTGATAATAAGCATTTTAAAGGTTAAACATACACTGTAATAAATTTTGCATTTAGTTATAAAATTGAAACAAACCAAAAGAATTTATCCTCAAAATAATGGTCTTCAAAAACACAATAAGCATTTTACTTCAGAATATCGCAATTTATGATGCCCTATGTAGGCTCTCCAGGCTATGAATTTTATTTATGATTCTTGCTTATAATGGTGTCAAGATGGCCTAATCAGTGTATGGGCCTATTGTGCTGGCTGCTGGGCAAAGATACTGTGGGGGAGTCTCCTTCCTGACCCAGTAACTGTTCAGCCCAACTAAGGCAGGAAGGCAAATTGTTATTGTTGTTGTTGTTATTATTATTAACAACAACAACAATACATATTACCATTTTCCAACTGTGGAATGCATGTGATGAATTATATTTCTGAAAGTCAGAGGCAAAGTAGAACCATAAATTCAATCCTGAACCAGTAAAATACAAGAGGCATAGTCATCTTTGCCGGAACACATGAACAAGCACTAAACAGAGACCTAATTTATCGAGAAAATGTGAAGAACCAACTCTGCCAGCCTAGTCCTTGCTTGTGGGAAGTGCAGGGTGGGATGTTGCTGTGAAGGCAGTGTAATGAGACAGACTATTTGCCCAGATAAGTGGCAATGTCTAGTAAAAAATATTTGTTAATCATGGTTGCAGAAACACAGTTTACATCTGAAATGCAACTTCCTCTCAAATCCTAGGATTGTTTTAAGCTGATGACAGGGATATCATCTGGATTTATGAACTATTAATATTCTTTTTTCTTGCATGGTTATTTGTATGTGTATGTGTAATTGCTATTGGATTTGGAAACTTATGGAAGCATGGAGCCCTATGGCTGTATATATTTAATGTGAGAAACAGTAAGAAAGCTGTGGAAAACCCCTCAGGAGTCACAGAGTATGAAGTATTTGATATAAAATGTAAAGCAAACTGAGAAAGGGGACTTTGTGACGTTGATAGAAGTTGTTTTAAAATGCACTTCTAAAAATAAAAGTAAGCCTACTGCCTCCTGGAAAAGAGAAGTTCCTCCTGCAATCCATTGTTGGGTGCTTATGATTCCTTCAGCACCTCTTTGCACAGGGAAGAGTATTTCCAGCATTCCAGACCCTTGTGTACATCCGTTCCACTGCTGCATTTTAACTAAGATCATAAAATATTTATTCTTCCTACCAAAATGTTAAAATTCTAATTGCTTTCATAATTGCTAAAGAACTAGGTGATTATCTTGTAAAAAATAGAAGTTATGCTTTTTATATCAGCTTCTGTTTCTTTGGACATGCTTTTAAAATGTCTGTGCTTTATCCATACAGCTGAAGTTCTCAGAAAGCGACTATTTTGGCAATGTGTTGCAAACTCGCAAATACGCAGCCCAGTCTGATTTCTACTGGCTTAGAAAAGAAGTTCCAAAAACAGAGTGAGTAGACAAAAGGCAAATTTACATACTCTTCTGACAATGTTTTAATTTGTATTATCTAATTTATACAAGTACTATTATATATTAATTTTAATAGAATTATATACATGGCAACATATTGTGATACAAAAAGCCTATGGGCAAACCCCCCTGTTATTCAGAAACTCCTGTGGACATTTTTTTTTTTTTTAATTCTAGGTATCCCTGTTCGAATGCACAGTAGTCACATTCTTGCAGCTTAAACTTAATCTAATGAGAAAAGGGGTAATTGAATTGCAATTAAAAATGGATTATGTCTCTTGGTCACAGTTAGAGTTTGAAATGGTACAGCAGGGATTTATGAAATAAATTTTGTAAGAATGTTATTATAAGAATGTTATTATTAGTAATAAAAATCAGCATTGTTAGTTACCTGCTGTTGATAGCAATGGTACAGAATGAAGCATAATTTAATTTACATATATTATTTTTATTTATTTGTAAACATGAGAGTGCAGATTGTGTCACAAACTGTCATAAAAGACATGAGAAAATCAGTCTCTTTTTTTACTCGTTGGTAATCAAATCCTTAAAATGCAAATTAAAACCTAAGCAGAACCTAATTAGTATAATCATGATACTTAAAAATGACTCCTTCTACACACAGACTTTGAAATTGGTGCTGCTGCTGAGCTCCTCTGCTGGTATTTCCTTAGGACTCCAGAAAATCCTACTGAAACTGAGCCATACCTTGTTCTGGAGGTAGCTCCATGTTACCCACGAGGAAGGTAGAGGATATTAGCAGGACATCCCAGCTAGAGTGTTGTAATTTGGTCCCATATATTCAAGGGACTATTTATACCTTAATTTTAATTTTTAATTTTACCTTCTCATCACAGCTTTCTCTGACATTGAACTGGTTAATCCCAGCGGATCATTTTAGAGATTTTCCTGGATGTCAGGACTAGAACATGATAATATATTCTCTTCAGAGTAACAGTTCCATGAGAGCAGTGAAATAACACCTGTCTGTCTATGGCAATTATGATCAGCAACCTCTTCCTCGTGATCAGCATTGGGGCAGCATTATTGCAGACTATGTAGATTACTGACATGGTGGGAAACCCCCCCTGTAAGGAAATTAACTGGTAGGTAGTCCCTGACTCAAGGACTGCAGTATGAGAACTGTAGCATGGGTATGCTTAAAAAGTGAAGGTTTTATCCCATTGCCCACTACCAAGATGGAACACTTTCTCATGCTTGTCTTTACCATCCTATTTCCAGGATTTTTTTGTCATCCCTCAGGGCACATTCTGGCCTTGGGGGGTGGCAGTTTGATTTTTGGTTTCTTTCCTTTGTTAGCACACCTGTATGCTCTGCCTTCTGCAGGACTGGAGGTAATTCCACCTGAGCCCTGGTGGGAAGGAATAATTAGGGTTCCTGCTGGGAGGTTATTCTGTCTCTGCAACTGCTCAGTGATAGAGAAGTGCCCTGAAAGTGGTGCCAGTCTGTCTGCTGAGTGGTACCGAGACACAGAGAGACACGGCTGCCTCCAGTACATTTTTTAAAATCTGTTAAAATAAACCAGTGACTCCCACTCACCAGTCTGAGGCATGGCCTCAAAAATATGATCCACTTTTTAGCCACTTGCCACTTTTAAACTATCATGCTTTCTGTTGCTTTTACATATCTTATTTTCTTTCTGTGTCTCCCTCTCTTTCTTTCTTTCTCTCTTTCTCTTTTTTTTTTTTTGTTTTTGTTTTTCTAAACTTTTACATTTAATAGAACACCACAGATCTTTTGGTGAAGCTTGGTGCTGTGTTAATAGATAATTACCCTTGGGATTTTCTTTCTGTTTAGTTCATTTCTTCTTTTCCCTACTTTAGTAGCTTTTAGTATAGCATTTATATTTAGAGATAGATATTGAAATATTGTCAAAGTTGTGGACTGAAAAAGATAAATAAGAAAATGAGTGTTTAAGGAAATAAGTTACCAGCTAGTAAAGTAATTACACCCCAAAAGTAAAACACAATATTCTTTTAGCAGATGGTCCCTGTTTCTCAACAATATTAATTTAAACTGCAACGACTTTCCTCAGCACAGTCAACTAATGGAAAATCAAAACGATGGTTCACACAAAACACCAGGGAAACTCCATGAGGGGATAGACAGGGGAGCTCGGGGATGCAAGAAAAAGGAGTTTGATAAAGCAAGGGAGAATATGGATATCAAAATAGAAATGAATTATTTTGGAAATTCAACAGGTTTTTAATCTAAAAAGAGAAAAAAACCCTCAAGCTAGCAGGAGTAATTATCAAAATTCTTTGTTTTCTGTTCTGCTCCCTCCATCCCTAGCAGTTATCTGCCTGACAGGAACAAGGAGCATGTATAAAGTCAGATGAGGCATTGCTCAGGGTGTGGGTGTGGGTGTGGGACCTACTGGTACCAAACAGCTGTGACAAGGTGTTGGGGTGCTGGAGTTGCCTGTTCTCCGTATCCCGGGAGCCAGTTCCCCTTGGGCACCACGGCTGCGGGAGGTGTAACTTGCTGTCCTCAACACACCCGCTTTGGATGCCAGCTGCCATCGTCACAGCTGGCTGGGGACGTGGCTGTCATCTTCACAGCTGGCTCTACTGAACAAGAAAAAGAGTGCTCAGGTATCAGCAGAGAGATGAACAAAAGGGATTTGTGCAGGTGCTGAGGAATACACAAAACAGCACAGGTTACACTGAAAGGAGTGGATGGAGGAGGTGAAGCTGGAAGGGGGCAGTGTGGGAGGATGAACACCAGGTGTGAAGACAATTATTATAACCCAGGTGAGACACAGCTAGAGTAGGGGGAAGTGATCGCCATGTGGAAGGGAGAAATAAAGGAGAGTCATTTTTAGTTGCATTTGCTTATCCATCCATGGAGCCATACACATTCATACATATATGTGTATGTATATACAAGCACACACCTGATGCACCTTTTTATCAGTGATTGATATCATACATACGTTAACACTGATATCATACTTGTAAATAACAAGGCATCAGAGGACTTCTTGGTCATACCACTTCATTATTATTCGTCTCTCTCCTTCGAAGTCAGGACATAATCTAAGATTTTTAGACCTGGACAAATCATTCATTTTTCACTCAGCTTTCAGTGCTGGGGATGTAGACATCTGATATCCCTGTCAGAGGATGTAAAGAAGTTGTGCTATGAGAGGGTTCCTGGGTCTTCTCCAGGACCTATTCCTGTTTTTCTTGACCACACACTGTTGTTGGTAAGCCCTGGCTCTTGATTTGACACAAAGGAGGGCAGCTCTGAGAGGGGCTGGGTTGGATGCTATTAAGGACACTGTAAAAGCTCCTTCTGCAAAAAAGGGAAAAGCAGCTGTGAAAAACACCTGGCAGGGTGTTGAAGAGACACTGCTGGAGAGCTCAGAAATCCTGTGGGTGGGACCTGCCCTGGAGAGGAGAGGCTGGAGTCTTTCCTGGAGCCGTGTCCTGATCTTTGAACCTTATTTTAAGCAGTGAAGTGGCACTGAAGGCTGACCCCAGCTTTACTATCCCAGTATCTTGCCCAGCCCTAAGGGAGACTGGGCATCCCAGGCAGCCTGGCCTGGGATGCTAATCTTCTGTTTCTACACTAGAAAATGTATAAAACAGATGAACAATGAGAATAGGAAATACACTTTTGAAAGTCACCTTGAAGGTTGCCTCCCATTTAGAAGTTTTTTTTAATAGTACTTTCTTGGGAAAACATTTTCCAGCATCCAGCAACTTTGTACAGCTTTTCACTTCTAACCAGCTGAAGCGTGTTGTACATTCACAGGTTCATTTTCTTATGATTTAAAAAAAAAATTTCTTACTTCAGATGTTGAACAGCAAACTGAGTGATTGCTTATAACTCAAAAAGTCGAGAAAACAAATTGCAACCTACCTTTGTGCTTTACAGAAAATTAAATAAATTAATAAGCTTTTCCCTGTAATGTAAATGTTCCCAGTCGCCTCTCTTCATGACTACCACTCTATAGTCTTAATTCAGAAAGGAAGATATCATGAAGAAAATTGTAGCCTAAAGAAACCCAAACTAAGGGAGTATCTGCCTCACTTACTATCTCACTGTAGGTTTCAGATTATATTTCTACAAGAGAAGTCTCAAACTTGTTGAGTCGGCAGCATCAGGTTTTGACTGCTACAGTAGTTGATAGGTAGTGCTACAGGACATCATTCAAAGCTGTTCCTTTTTCACATGCTTATATCAAACCAAACCAACAAACAATTCTAGACTTTTTTATTTGTTTACTTTGTAATTAATAAGAGCTTGGAATGTGTTATGCTTGTCTCTTTTTCCTATCCTTCTGTTAGTAGATAAATTGCACTGAAATTCTAATTGGACCTAGAGCAAATGCCCAGGCAACCTGACTCCAAACAGGAATGAGAGAGTTATTTCTAAAATTGCTTCACCTGAAAATTTAACAGCAACACCTATATATTACATACCTTCATATGGTAATTATGTTATTAGTTAAGGTATGTCACTGAAGGTTCAATTTTTTCAAGGAGCTCACTGAAAGAGGATAACTGATGAGAACTGAAGTTGTTCTGCTAGTCTGAATGGAAGCATTCTTGGTTATTTCTACTCTTTTGTGGAAAATACTTCCTAAATCTTTTTGAGAGTGGCTCAGAATAGTACAACAAAATGCTGGAATGGAAATATGTTCCTTTCCAAGTGTCAAATATGAAATTCAGCTGAATACTCTGTAACTAGAGAACTCTTATTCTTTCTGACTTCTGAGTATGTTTCCTAAGTCTCCTTTTCCTAGCTGCTTAAAAAGACAAGAACTTCATACTGGGTCATTTTTAAAGCCTTGTTATGAAAGAGCAATTTAGGAAGAACTTAGTTCAGTTTTACAGTGAGAAAATCAAGGCTGCTCTTGGTCTTTGGCTCATACTGAGCTCAGGAAACAGGATGGGCTCTGTTATTGTGGTGGTAGATCATGAAGAAAGAAGCCATCTCAGGATGGGGATGCTGTGATATGTCTTAGTAGTCTACAAGTTCCAAGTCTGTGAATTCACAGCGTGATGTCCTCCCTCAGTAACTGTGGACCAAATGTCAACAGCATTCACTGTTGCTCTTGGGCAAATTGAGGTGTTCCTCTGGTGACAAGTACATGTGTCACTAGCTCCTCACTCAATAAAAATGGGTGCAAACTTGTCCTGTTAGATAGGAGTCACTTGTCAATGAAGAGCTCTTTGACCACTCCTTGTGGTGGTTCCTGTCTTCAAGTAGCTATGGTAATCCCCCAGGGCTGCAGCAGCAAAGAGGATGGGGAGAAGAGCAAAGCATATTAGTCTGTTTTGAAGTATCTGTTATCTGTGTCAGGCCCTTGATTCTCTAACCAGAAATGAGATGCTAAGAAGAATTTGCAAAAAGGGAGGATTTGCTGTCCCAGAAGCCTTTTTCATGCTTAAAAGTTGCTGTTGGTGAGAATAGAAAGGCTGTTGTAAGTAGAACAAGCCAACAGGGTGAAGTGGAAGTCAGAACACTGTGTGTCTTTGATCAAACTTACATGTAAATTAAAGTGTTGAGTGTTTTCAAATTGGTTCTTTCCCTGTCAGAAAAGGGGCAGTCCGCCAGACCTACTGCTAAGCCTGGAGAACAGGTCCCAGAGCATATGTGGAAGGCTTGCATCCTTCAAAACAGTTCAGCTAATTGCTGCTGTGAGCAAACACGCAATTGAAATATTTTTGATTAAACCTCCTAATTTTTTTCTTTATCCCCTCACCATACAGATTCTTCTTTCAATTTTCCATTATCTTTGTATATTACCTCTAACATTTAACCTCCTTATTATGGAGAGAACAGAGAACATACCAGAAAACAACCTCCCCTTGCTCCTCCCATTCACAATCTCCTAATACAAAAACCAGGGAGAGTTATCTGTCGCAATTAGAGTCTATAATGTGATGGATGGTTAAGATATGTGCATGACAGCATTGTTGTTGCCTTCATTGATTAGTTTTTCTATTTGATGCATTGTAAAATAAGCTGCTCAGTTTGAAGAATAAGAGAAGCAGTTAAATTTATTGACAAAACACAAAATGCTGCCATTTTAAAACTCTTCCCTTTGTTACATGGTTTACATGAGGACATTAGTTGTCAGAAAAAGAGTCAGGATCTACAGATGACTAAATTATTTAATGGAGCTATTTTAAAACACAGATTGTGTACATGATGGTCACTGATATCACACATTTTCCATGTTCTTATAGATCTTCCTTTGTCTTACATTTTGTTTTACAGCTCCTATCTCTTCTCTTTGAAAGACATTTTCCAAAGCAAGTGTATTGCATTCATGTAACTTTACAAAACTTTTGAGTAATGCATTGCTTAAGACATCAGGATGTTCCTGTTTGGAGATTTATTGGACTCACTTCTAATTTATTATGGATTAACCACCAATTCTCATCATCTTCATTACTTTTATCTCAGTTCTTCCTTACAAAATCATAAGGTGAAATCTTGGGCTTACTGAACTCAGGATTTCGTCTGGGGCAATTTGGATATTGCTGAAGTCAGCTGAGATTTTCCAGGTGAAGGCACTGTCAATATATATGAGCTTAAGCTAAGGAGATTCTTAAATCCTATTTGCCATTCATAGAATCACAGAATATTCTGAGTTGGAAGGGACCCACAAGGATCATCAAAGTCCAATCCTATTCAAATCTAGGTTTTCCTCCAGTATGTATGAGAAATCAAACCATGAGAAGAAATGCTTTGCAATAGGTTTGTTTGTTTAGGAGCACACTGATGGCCATGGTGTGTAAGGTACAGAACACAAAACTGTTCGTTTTGAATTTACATTCCCAGAAAGTACCAGCTCGTGTTGCTGGCATAAACCTAATTGTTCAAGTCGTTGTTCAGCAAAGCCTCTGAAGCCACTACACCGTTTCAAAATGCTCTCTAATTTCAACAGGGAGTTTCTCCACACGTGATTGAAAGCCACCCAAGAGAGTTTTCACAGCTGTTTTCAGTGTGGCAGCCTCTGCTGCATGAACTTCTGTTCATCAGCATGGCAGAACTCTCAAGCACAATGGTCACCTAAAAATTAAACAGATTAGGTAATAGAAAGCTTAAGAATCCCTCCAGTTGAGCATTCATTGACTGTACACACTTAAACTCAGCGAACAGTAGATTTCAATGTGTAGGTAGCATGTGTTGAAATGGAGAAATGCTTAAACTTTAATGTATTCTAGATCCTTAATATTTTTACTTCCTTCTCCTGAGTTCAACTTTTATTTTTACTCCATTTATTTATAGAGATGAGTAACTGTACTGACAGATATATTCTTTTGCTCTTACTACAGGTGGTTTACAAGCCCAACTACTGTAAATGCTTTTTATAGTGCATCTACCAACCAGATCAGTGAGTATCTGACTTAGCCTAATTATATAGTGCCTGTTTGGGAATGTATGTATCAAGCTTCAGATAACAGATGTACCATTTGTGTTGTTTGTGACTGAAAATTAAAAGTTCAAACGTGGTAATTCAGCCGTGAGAGGATAGCTCTGTAAAACTTAGGGCTCCCACAAATTTGAACTCCTGTTGCTTGATGAGTTACCCCATGTCAGCTGAGTT